GCCCAAATGACTAATTACCTTAATTAGTTTTTGGTTAATTCATCTACTTAATCATGATCTTAAGTTAATCAACTCAGTCAACGATTTTGATTGGCCAACATGTATTTAGCCAAGCCATTATGACGCGAGATCATATACGAGGACCGAGACATCTAGGCATAGGTGGTCAAGATGTATTGAGATATGTGAGAAACATTGTTGTGATTGGTTGACATGTATTCAACTAGACTTCTTTATCTTATAATCATACCATAAGACTCTGTTTCGGTTGAATTGGTTCGAGAGTCGGTCATTCTTCCTTGCTCTGCTCTCTTTTGAACTTCAATTCTCTCCGAGAATGCTATCCACTTTGATGAATTGTTGACCTGCAGAAGACACTCTGACGCTCAAGTCAGATATGTTTCATAAAGATGTCTACATTTTATTAGGATCGAAAAAGATCTCTGTACCTGGATACCAATGGTATATTTATAGGACTTGTGGCAACCAAGTCCATTGATTAACCATTAATTCAGTATATTTTTGGGAAATATAATCTGCCAATCACTCATAAATACTGTATATTCGTCCTTAATATAACCATTAAACGTATTAATTGACTATTAATGATATTTACCTTTCTTGATTAGTTTGTCTCATAGTCGGTTGCGAGATATAGTACAGACTCAACACATTTAGGCACAAATGTCCTAGATGTCTTCATATACATATCTTACCCTAATCATGACAAAAAAAAGTATAAAAACATATAGTGTATTCTACGACTTCAAAGAAAATAAATGTTAGATTACATTATTGTTGTAAATGTTGTTTGAATGCAAAAAAAAATAAAAATACATTATTGTTACAAAATACATATGAAACTAACCCATTAAATGTTAAAATTAGGGTTGGGCATAATTAGTCTAACTGTACTAAACTGTATATGTATTATAAAAACTAAACTATTTTTATTAAAAACTGAATTATACTGTTTTGCAGTTCAATTTAAAAAACTGAACTTTTATATCCGCAATTAACTGCTTCAGTTAACCAGTTAACTGCTTGCTTGCTTTATAATACTAAAAACTTAAATAAAATTTAATTGCATAAGTTACATAAAAAAAATTGATCAGAAAAACCTTAACAAAATCTATCCATTTATAAATTGCAATAATATAATAATTTTCAGTAAAAATAAATACTTAAATGAAAAATAATAATAAATTAGTATGATATATAATTATGAAAAGTATGATATACAAATATAAATTAAGTTACATGTTTTATTAGAAAAAAAATAATTCATACCAATTTGTAAATAGTATTAAATGTGTCTTTTCTTTTTTGTCTTAAAATTATTTCAGAATAAGTTTTGAAAATTAATTTAAATTCTTAAAGTATTTTTTGTTAAAGTAACACTTAAAATTGTAATTTTAGAAATTTAATTTAGGATATTTGTTTATTCAAAAACACTTTTCAATAACTTTTATTTAATAAGAAAACAAATAGTTCATTTATTTGAGTTATGATAAAAGTGTGTTTTTCTTATGTTTACGTTTGATATGTTTGCGTGGTTGTAAAGCTCATTTATTTGAAGCAGTTTTGGTCACCTTGTAAAGCTCATTTATTTGAAGCAGTTAACTAGTTAACTGAACTACTAATTCAAAAGTTCAGTTTTCTTAAATTGAACCATAAAACAGTATAATTCAGTTTTTAATAAAAACTAAGTTTTTATAGTACAATATAGTATAGATAATCTATAGTTTAGTACAATTAGGTTAATTATGCCGAGCCCTAGTTAAAATATTGCATTTCAATCTAGTCAAACAAAATTTAAATTTGTGCATTTCAAAAGGAGTAAGTTCATCTCTAGATAAAATCTAAGGTTGATTAGTTGACTCGTGGATTTTACTGTTATGTTAAAATAACAATATAAGATTCTTTGAAAAAAGAATGTAGGTTAATTTACAAGAAAGGTTGTTTCAGTTTGGATATCCTAAGTACTTTCGTTTGTCGTGTTTTTATCCCTCTCTAATCTTGAGAGTTGTATACGGTTTTCTTTATGATTGTGATACAACAATGAAGTAGGCTGGTTAACCACAAATTATTTTGACGTATAGTTTATAGGACAATTTAAAAGATCTAATCGATGTCCCTGTCACGCTTCATGCATTTTGACAATTTCAAGAACACTTGATCTTTGTATGGAATGAGACAAGCTTTGAATGTAGTTGAACAGACAAGAGCAAAGGGTAGTGCATGTAGTGGTGACTTTAAATTTCTGGTTATAATAAGGGTTTCAGAACTCTTTTCCTAACAAGTGAAGATACACATCAATCAATGGGTTGGACGTTGGATAAATTTATATGGGCACTTCTTGTTGAGTGCATATTCCTTTCTGGTTTATCTCATTCTGGTAAAGGTAAATGCTTTGCTGTGAAGTACGACTTTTCCTTTTCAAGTTTTTTTTTTGGGGTCCCATATTGTTGTTACAAAGGGGTTTTACTATTAGTTTGTTTTCATCAAAGAATTGAAAATAGAAAAAATGAGAACAAGAAGGTTTCTTTTGTTTAGTTGGTTTGGTTGATGGCTGTAGTGTTTCTTTGTAACTCTTTTCACCTCATTCATTTCTTTTTTATCTTCTTGTGTCCATGCAGCCTCAAAGTACGCATTTGTAAGAGAAGCAACATCTGCTCCACCATTCTTGTCTTATGACTACATTGTCATTGGTGGAGGAACAAGTGGGTGTCCCCTTGCAGCAACTCTCTCACAGGGTGCAAGAGTTTTAGTCCTTGAAAGAGGAGGTTCTCCTTACACAAACCCAGAGCGAATCCACCTAAAGAACTTTGTCAATTCCCTCGCTGACATAAGCCCTTCATCTTTTTCCCAACCGTTCATATCCACAGATGGGGTCCTCAATGCCAGGGCTCGTGTTCTGGGTGGTGGCTCGGTGTTGAATGCAGGCTTCTATTCAAGGGCTAGCTCTGACTACATAAGGATTTCTGGTTGGAATGAGTCTTTGGCTGAGGAATCGTATAAATGGGTTGAAAAGAAAGTGGTTTTTGAGCCCCCTATGCTGCAGTGGCAGTCAGCAGTGAGAGATGGGTTGCTGGAAGTAGGCGTGTTGCCTTATAATGAATTTACTTATGATCACTTAAATGGGACGAAGATTGGAGGGACAATTTTTGATAAGAAGGGTAACAGGCACACTGCAGCTGATTTGTTAGAGTATGCTGATCCCAAGAACATTTCTGTTTATCTCCATGCCACAGTGCAGAAGATACTATTTAGATATAACACAGGCAAGGAGAAGAAAATAAGATAAAATAATTTTTTTTTTTTTATAAATTAGAACTAACTCATCAATTTCAACTTTTTGTAAGATTTTGTTAATAACTTTATAACTTTTTGTATGGTGGATTGATTTTGTGATGAAATGTAACAAACTTGGCTTCCTTGTTTTCCTTATTGTAGTAAGAGTGATGGCAATGCGTTTGAATATTCTTTTACAGGAAAAAGAAGACCAGAAGCTTATGGAGTAATATTCATAGATGCAATGGGAGTGATGCATAGATCATACTTAAACAGAAAAGGAAAGAATGAGATAATCTTATCAGCTGGGGCAATTGGAAGCCCACAGTTGTTGATGCTGAGTGGGATTGGTCCTGCTAAACATCTGCAGGCTCATGGAATCACGGTGGTTTTGGATCGGCCCTGGGTGGGTCAAGACATGGCAGATAATCCAATGAACGTTCTGGTGGTTCCTTCCCCTTTGCCTGTTGAAGTCTCTCTGGTCCAAACAGTGGGCATCACAAAGTCTGGTAGCTTCATTGAAACAGGCAGTGGATTAAGTTTGGGCCCTTCTTGGTCTGAAAGACTTCAAAAGATTTTTGAATTTGTGTCAAACCAGGTCAGTGTCCCATATGCTGCTTGATTTTTGAATTTGAATGTTTACTAATAAGGGTGATATGTTATGAAATTTGTTCTCGTTTGAAGTCTGGTCAGCCTTCGACGTTTTCCTCAGAAAACACGCAGAGGGTTGCAGACTTGGTTAGATTTTTAACGGGTCCAACTCTGAAAGGAGGAATCATTATTGAAAAGATCACAGGACCACGATCCACAGGTCATTTGGAGCTCATAACCACAAATCCTAGTGATAATCCATCAGTTACTTTTAATTATTTCAAGGATCCAGAGGATTTGAGAATCTGTGTTGAAGGCATGAAAACCATCATTGATGTGGTAAACTCAAAAGCATTATCAAAGTTCCGGTACCCCAACTTGCCAGTCCAAGCTCTATTGAACTTGATGTTGCTGATACCAATGAACTTGAGGCCAAAACATGTCAATACTGCTTATTCTTTACAACAGTATTGCATAGACACTGTGCTAACAATTTGGCATTACCATGGAGGGTGCCTCACTGGTAAAGTTGTTGATCATGATTATAAGGTTATTGGGGTCGAAGCTCTGAGGATAATTGATGGATCCACCTTTTATCGCTCACCTGGGACTAATCCTCAAGCCACCGTCATGATGCTTGGAAGGTACATAATTATTGGAATACTTTAGTATATAGATGTTATGATTTGATATTGATCATAATAATAACAGTAATAATATCAATGATTTATTAACTCTTTTATCAATTTGATACAGGTATATGGGAGAACAAATTATAAACAAAAGATTCTCCGGTTGACAGAAAAGTGAAGGGATCAATTGAGCGCATATTTGCTGTNTTTTTTTTTATAAATTAGAACTAACTCATCAATTTCAACTTTTTGTAAGATTTTGTTAATAACTTTATAACTTTTTGTATGGTGGATTGATTTTGTGATGAAATGTAACAAACTTGGCTTCCTTGTTTTCCTTATTGTAGTAAGAGTGATGGCAATGCGTTTGAATATTCTTTTACAGGAAAAAGAAGACCAGAAGCTTATGGAGTAATATTCATAGATGCAATGGGAGTGATGCATAGATCATACTTAAACAGAAAAGGAAAGAATGAGATAATCTTATCAGCTGGGGCAATTGGAAGCCCACAGTTGTTGATGCTGAGTGGGATTGGTCCTGCTAAACATCTGCAGGCTCATGGAATCACGGTGGTTTTGGATCGGCCCTGGGTGGGTCAAGACATGGCAGATAATCCAATGAACGTTCTGGTGGTTCCTTCCCCTTTGCCTGTTGAAGTCTCTCTGGTCCAAACAGTGGGCATCACAAAGTCTGGTAGCTTCATTGAAACAGGCAGTGGATTAAGTTTGGGCCCTTCTTGGTCTGAAAGACTTCAAAAGATTTTTGAATTTGTGTCAAACCAGGTCAGTGTCCCATATGCTGCTTGATTTTTGAATTTGAATGTTTACTAATAAGGGTGATATGTTATGAAATTTGTTCTCGTTTGAAGTCTGGTCAGCCTTCGACGTTTTCCTCAGAAAACACGCAGAGGGTTGCAGACTTGGTTAGATTTTTAACGGGTCCAACTCTGAAAGGAGGAATCATTATTGAAAAGATCACAGGACCACGATCCACAGGTCATTTGGAGCTCATAACCACAAATCCTAGTGATAATCCATCAGTTACTTTTAATTATTTCAAGGATCCAGAGGATTTGAGAATCTGTGTTGAAGGCATGAAAACCATCATTGATGTGGTAAACTCAAAAGCATTATCAAAGTTCCGGTACCCCAACTTGCCAGTCCAAGCTCTATTGAACTTGATGTTGCTGATACCAATGAACTTGAGGCCAAAACATGTCAATACTGCTTATTCTTTACAACAGTATTGCATAGACACTGTGCTAACAATTTGGCATTACCATGGAGGGTGCCTCACTGGTAAAGTTGTTGATCATGATTATAAGGTTATTGGGGTCGAAGCTCTGAGGATAATTGATGGATCCACCTTTTATCGCTCACCTGGGACTAATCCTCAAGCCACCGTCATGATGCTTGGAAGGTACATAATTATTGGAATACTTTAGTATATAGATGTTATGATTTGATATTGATCATAATAATAACAGTAATAATATCAATGATTTATTAACTCTTTTATCAATTTGATACAGGTATATGGGAGAACAAATTATAAACAAAAGATTCTCCGGTTGACAGAAAAGTGAAGGGATCAATTGAGCGCATATTTGCTGTTGTTTCTTATCAGTTTGCTGTGTAGTATTTGGGTTGTCACTTAGACCTCTTTCTCTTTCTTCTGAATGCTGTGTCTGTTTATAGGAGAACATTTGCACTTGTTCTTTTTTTCTATTATAATATTTATTTCAGTAATATAATTGCAATTTGATAGAAAAAAGATTTGGAGAGAAATTGTTTAATCCTTTTAAAGTTAGCAATATAACGAGGAGAAGTAAATTAAAAACGCCTAGGTTATAATTCTAAATTAATACATCGATGACAAATTCATTATTCCAAAACTAAAACATCCTTACTTTTTTTTTATTTCCTATTAGTACGGTTAAAAAATTAATTAAAAATATGTATTTTTATTTTAATTCATAAACAGTAAACTACATGGATGAGGATTATTAATTCACTACTATTATTCTCTTTTTTTCTCTTTAAGATTAGTTCACCTTGTATTATTAATGACTTGGAATGGAGTCTAAAACCAAAAACTAAATTGACAGTCATAACATAACATGAAGTTAGAATTGCAAGATTTATCATTACCCAAAAATATCTTAAAAAATTCTCTGTCTTTATGGTTCAAGTATTAATTTGAAAGGAGACATGTAACACTTAAAATGGTGGTTGGACTAATAAACATTACAAAACAAGTTGCTGCATACACAGCATAGTTTAAGTAACAGAAAAAGATGCATTAGCATATGCTCTGAAACATCTGGTACCACAAGCCCATGGCACCTTCATGAAATGGAAGAAGCATCTAACTTTCACCTACTTTCCCCATTTTTACTAAAAAGCAGGTGAGATGGAGAAAGAGAATGACTTGTGCTCATGAAAGGAAATTAGTTTATTCACAGCATAAGCCTTAAGAATATGCTTTTGATAATTAGTTTATTCCATGTCCTGAGATTATAAATTGCTATGTTCATGGAACGTTGTTGGGCAACTGCAGTAACTAGCTCCACAAAATATCATAGTGAATAAGCAAATCAGTCATAGGGCTTCTCTTTCTTGGCAGGAAATTACATGACCACCTCATGAAATATCTTGCCAAAGGAGAGTTGCCCTGTTGCTGCTTTAGCTTAACATGTAATCTTGTACGTTATTCGGTGCATATGATCATTCACTCCATTGAAGAGAGCCACTGAAGCATTATGCAAGGGATCACACAACTGACTTCATTTTCTTCTTCTATAGCTCCACAACTTCTTTTAAGGAAACATAATGTAACAACATAGTTCGATATAGTTGATGGATACGTGTGTCCTTTATTGTTCACTTGTAGAACACTTAAGGTAGAGAAAAACTTCCTGAGATGATATGTTCTTCTTTGATTAACATGTGATTTTGCAATTCAATAATGCTTTCACTTTCTCTTGTATCTATTCAACTACTTGTCATATTG